TTTTTTTTTAATGATAAATATTTTTGTCAATTAGTTTAATTATGGTGATTCTCCATCAACAGCTTCACTTTAGCCTCCCGACAGCCACAGCTTGTCATGTCTTTGCATTTTGCTTCCAAGCAGCCAGACTTTGTTGTCATTTTTTAAAGTGGTCTTGAGCAAAAGTTCTCTGATGGTTTTTACAGTTTTATGTTGTACATCGGATGTTTTTTCATTCACTTTTACTTCAGTCCTTGTAACTGACTGTTATTGGAGGAATGTTTTTTTTATTTGTTTGTTAAAAACATAATTTTTTCCCATTTCTTTAATTGAATTTTGACAGAAGTAAAATATTATTTTTGTACCAACAAGGTGATTCTCAGAGAGCTTTTAGCTGAAAACTTGCATGGTGTGCAGTCTGACCTTAAAAAATTTGAGGAAACTTCAAAAGTGGATAACAAAAGAACAAGTCTCAGGTCTAAAGAAAACTATCTACCGTATCTGAAAGTCTTGTCCTTGAGACATACAAAACAAGCAGGACCTGTGAGATGCACCTGGACCTTCATCCACTGTTCACTGAAGCCTCAGAGATGGTGTTAGTGGAAGGAAGCCATGCTTAAGGAGGGAAACAGGGAGAAGAAGCTGATATCTTGAACATCTTGTCAAAATGGAGAACTATGTCTGAAGACTAAATAAATCACTGCACATATTTCTCATTCAAATACTGCAAAACAAGTTCAGGAAAATAGTGAAAACCAAGAGATTCCTGTTATATCCACTGGATTTGTTAAACTACATTTTGTTTTTAATGTACTAACTTTTAATTACTTCCAAATGTCCACTTGCAGTGCCTTTTTACCCACTAGGGGGCAGAAGCTCACTTAAAAATTGTGTTTTTACTGCAAAATTTCTCCAGAACTAATCAGCAACTTTTTAGTTATTTATTTTTTCTCTCATTATATTTTTAATTACAAAAAGTGTTGTAATATTAGGAAAAATAACATTGCAAAATAATATATAACACTGCAACCAAGAATCAAAAGTGAAAAAATATATTAAAAATTAAATTAAATCAAAACTACTGAACATTTTAAAAGATAAAAACCTCTTAGGCTTCAGACGTCCAGTATGCATTATTAAATAATCAAAAAAAAAAATAGCTTCAGTATAACTAAACCTTCTAAAATGTGTAATTACAGCATCTCTTTAACTCCGTAGAGCTGCAGCAGCTCTTATTTAAATGATCTCTGACGCAATGTGACAGATTAGACCAGGCGCGACCCAATCTGGCTTTGCAGACTAATGAGAGTGGGGCATAATTCAGGGTGTTTTTTTAAGTGAGTCTGCGTTTCAGTTTAGGTTTTACTGAGCATTACTTTCTGTATTAGTGAAGTTCTAACTGCGTGTAAAGTTGACCTTTTTCTTCTAGTGTCTCATACACTTGATGCCTTTGTCCTCCAGTCCTCTTGTGTATGTCTTCATAGTTGAAGCAACTCTTTTTGTCTCTGACTAGTTCCTGTTTTACTTTGAGGGTTAGATTTCTTTGGAACCTGTGCTATATTTACTTCTTTTGTCTGAGTGATTCCTCAATCAGCCCTCGGTGTATAAATAGTCCTGTCCTCCTCTTTGTCACCTGTAAATGTTCATGTTTTTTTCCCCCATGTGTTGCCTCATCATCTCCTTTCCCCCATCGTTGTTACTCCTGTGCAACCTCTTTATGGCAAAGGTGGTCTGTCTATTTGGACAGTTATTAAAGGGTTTGTTGCTTCTGTTAGAGTTGTCTGATTTGGTTTTAACACCCAGTGGTGTTTAAATGGATGTTCATTTAAACACCACTGGTTGAATGGCAGAGCTGTGATTGAATGTGGGGGAAAAATCTCAGATTTTTTAACATCTGTTTTGTAAATGGATGATTAGTTAAATCTGACTGCTGTTTTTTACAATAAATGAATATTTTCCCTGACCCATTTCTGATCATAGATCAGATTGGAGGATATTTAAATGAGTTTGAATGAATTTAAATGAGAAAATCTTAAAAAGTTTGCAGTCTCATCAAGGTACAGTGGATCTCTCTCTTAGCCTTTTAGGCTGGATTTCTGATTTATCTCATCACAGATAGTACTGCATATGTCTTTATGAAAATTTTAAATTCTCAGTGCTGTAAAGCAGTCCTGCTGAAAGCTGTCATTTGTAGATTAGTGGATTTATACTTTGAAGTCTAGCTCCCACACAGGGTCACAAGATTAGTTTAGGAGCTCCTGTAATGAAAAAAAAAAGGATTATTTTTTTCCCACAGTTGTTTTAGTCAGCATTTACAACTTTTATAAAAACAATGAAGATTCAGGTCTAACTCACTGTACATTCAAGAACAAATGAAGGCAACAGCATTTACAGGTAGAGATCTCAAGCTATCTGTTTGTTTGGTTGTTTTTCTCAGTTATAAAAATGTCGATTCATCAGAAACACAGAAATATACAGCTGTAGTCAGAAATTTACATCTGCTCCTTATGGGCAAGAATGTAACTGTAATTTTGGTATTATAATGATTTCTTTAAACTGTCTTTTTCAGGCGTGGGCTGATTGTACAGGATACATTTTTAATAACTTTAAAAAACAAGAATTGGCTGCACAAGTTTGAATTTATATTGGATTTCCTCTAATCCACACAGGCTCAAATATGTACATACACTCACCTAAGGCTTTAAGGTCAGACGAGACAAAGATTGAGCTATTTAGGCCAGCGGTCCCCAACCTTTTTTGCACCACGGACCAGTATAATGTCACACAGTATTTTCATGGACCGGCCTGTTGCGGATAAATACAACAAAATAAAATGATACGACCAAGACAAAAACTGTGGTATTTTGTACATTTAATAATAATACGCGAATTCACTGTGTAATTGTGTAACTTTATTAGCAGTGCCGACAACATTGAGAGTAACCTCCTCCTCTCTGCCCCTTAATGCTCTCTGGTCACTATGGTAATGCATAATTTCTTTCAAAATAAGCCACACAACTACAACACTGGAAAAGACCCAGGGAAACCGAGTTAACGATAAAAACCATAAAAACCATAAAAACCATAAAAACCATAAATTTCACATCTCAACTCTCACGGTCCAGTACCAAACGACCGGTACCGGTCCGTGGCCCGGGGGCTGAGGACCGCTGATTTAGGCCACAATGACCACAAGTATGTTTAGAGGAGTAAAGGTGAGACTTTCAAACCTAGGAACACTATACCAGCTGTCAAGCATGGTGGTGATATCATCATGCTCTGGGGTTGTTTTGCTATCAGTGGTACTGGTACAATGTACGTTGAACAAATTTCATGGAATAATATAATAATTATTATTAGCTCCAAATTCTTCAACTTCACCTCAAATCAACAGCCTGACAGTTGAAACTTGGACACAGTTGGGTGTTCCAACAGGACTGTGATACCAAACAAGCATCAAAACTGGTTTTGGTATGGATAAAGCAGCCTCACATTAAACTTCTGGACTGGCCTTGCCAAAGTCAAAGCGGATGATGCATAAAAGCCAGGACCATGACTGCAAACCAACCAATTTAAATGAACCCCACCAATTCTGCAAAGAAAAATAGTCAAAAGAGTTTAAAGGGTTACTCTTTGTTCAAAAATGTAAAAAGTTGAAAACATAGTTGAAACATAATGCTTCATTTTTTTCCTCTTCTAATCACTACAATCACAAATCTTCAAACTAAATCTATATATATTTCCTGCACAGTATGAGATTTGTGTATCCATGTCACAGTCCTGAAAGAGGTCACTGAGTGGTAAAATCCTTCCTTGTTGTTTCAGAGAGCCATCATGAAGCTGGTTTTGCTCCTCCTGCTGGTGACGGAGGCATCCTGCAGATCTCACAGCTCTGGGTGTGAGACGGGCTGTGACTGTCGTGGAGACCTCAAGTTCACCATATGCTCAAGGGCTTCCTTCACACGGCTCCCCAGCCGAGTGCCTCCCATCACTGAACTCCTCGACCTGTCTGACAACTGGATCTCCATCATCCCCGAGCGCACCTTCAACACCACCCGCAAACTACGGGTACTCCTGCTGCAGAACAACAACATCAGCGTGGTGGAGGATGGTGCCTTCTCACAGCTGGAGTTCCTCCAGAAGCTGGATCTGAGCTGGAACCAGATCACCACTCTCTCTGAGGGATTCTCCATTGGCCTAGCCTCACTGCGGGAGCTGCAGCTGTCCCACAACCGACTGACCACCCTGGGCAGCCGGACCTTCCGGCACCTGGACAGCATCCAACGATTAAACCTGACCAACAACAGCATCCAGACCATTCAGATGAGGTCGTTTTCCTCAATGAGCCTCCTCCGACAGCTCCACCTGCAGGACAACCAGCTGACGTCTCTGAGGAGTGGCACTTTCTCCATGCTGCGCTCCCTCGAAGTCCTCAACCTGGCCGGAAACCAGATCAGTGAGGTGGAAACTGGTGTCTTCAAGCCACTTGCCAGCTTGACGTTACTCAACATTGCCAAGAACCAGCTGACCACCATCTGCTTCAAGACTTTCCTGAGCATCCACACCTACAGCACCCACCTCCTGCTGGAGGGGAACCCCTGGAACTGCGACTGTGACCTGCAGAGAGTTTTCCGGAAGCTGCGCAGCATCCAGCGGCTCTTCCTGGATGACTACTACAACCTGACATGCAGTTCGCCACCTGACCTCCAGGGCTACCTTCTGATAAACGTGGATGATGAGCTGTGCATTGCTGAGACGGTCACTGTGCTCATCATAACCATCACCGTCATCATCACCCTGCTGGCTGCCATGCTGATGGGTGAGAGAAAGAGGAGGAGGAGGAAGAAGAAGGGATTCCACTGGACGCAGCAGGGAGACTTTTCAGACGAGTCAGACTACTGAAGCAACTTCTGTTTCTGACTTAAATATATCACTCTTTCTTTTCTCACGCTGTAGTCAGGTAGTATTTTCAACCAAGAGTGCTCATAACTAGACTAGAAGTGGAGTTAAAAAAGTCCAGATAGAAGCCTCAGTGAGATTAAAAACCTGTATTTCAAAAGTGACTTGGCCAAGAAGGGATTGTATCCATCCATCCATTCATTGCATTCTACTTATGTGAAGTTGGGTTGTGGTCACAACAAATCTGGATC